AAATCAAAGGTGGGCCCGAAGCGGCCAGCTCCAACAGGCTCCAAGATTTCCCCAGCATGCCCCAGGAGGCCTTAAGGATATTCGCAGTGACCTCCGATATGGCCTGCAGCGAGTTCTGCTTGCATCCTCCCCCCCTCCTCTTTCCTTCCCCTCCCCATCACCCGTGCCGGTTCGTCGTCTTCATCCGCATCTGAAGCCCCGTCCCTATCTTCGCCCCTTCCCGCCATCATTATCGCACGTCCCCTTTCCCTCTATATCGCAATGTCTGCCCTGGAAAACCCGCCCCCGAATTCAACCAGACCGACGCCCCTGTGGAAGCCGCGCCCCCGATCTGCATCTCAGGCCTCGCCCCGATCATGATCCCCTCCAGGCCCTCGTCATCGCACCCTCATTCCCCTCTGCGTCAGCAGGCCTGCCCCAGCAAAAAAAACACCCGTTACAACCAGAACGACGTCCTTATGAAAATCAGTTTCCCTCGCCGAAATATCATATGTAGCTATCCCCCTCCCTCTTCCTCCTCCTCCTCCTCCTCCACCTGCCCCTCCTTCTATTCCTCTTCCTGCGGGATCGCCAAAGGCCGATCAAGACGCTGGGGAGTGACGCGATAGGGGACCTGATCTGTTCGTGGTCGGTGAGAGGCGGGATGGGGGTCGGCCTAAAATACTGAAGGACCCCGCGAGATACCAGACAAGCACTCTAGCACGCCTCGGCGTGCTGCATGCGCGGTGGCAGATTGGCAGTTCGGTTTGACGCGTCGGGTGTACAGCACTCCCACTTTGGAAGAACATCGCGGCTCTTCAGTTAGGGGTCAGAGCTCGGAATGTTCCCCGGTCAACGGGGGCCCGAAGGAGGAGGAAGTTGAGGAGGAGAAAGGGAGGAGGAGGAGGAGGCGGAGGAGGAGGAGGAGGAGAACGAGGAGGAGGAGGAGGATGAGTAGGGGAAGGAGGAAGACGAGGAGGGAGGAGGAGGAAGAAGAGAAGGAGGAGGAGGAAAGCGAGCAGGAAAAGAGGAACGCTGTTTTCTCGTCTTGCACAATGGGTTTCCGAACTTCACCTTCGCGTACTATTGGCTCTATGGCCCTTGCATTGTTTCCTTATTAGCGAACGGCGAAATTGTGGGTTTCCGAACCCCTTCTTCGTGTACTACTTGAATCGATGGGCTTCCGATCCTCATCTTCGTGTACTATTAGCTCTATAGCCCCTGTATTGCCTTCTTATTAGCGAATGGCGAAATTATGGGTTTCCGAACCCCTTCTTCGTGTACTACCAAACTCCGACGATTCTCTGTTATACTAGTTGTTTGTTTTGGAATTTGTAGAACACGAACCCGAACCCACCCGAACCCTTACCCTAACCCGTGCCCTTACCCATTTATTCTTAGTAGACACGACGGTGAAGTTTGACCCTAGTCGTAGTAGTAGTAGTAGTAGTAGTAGTAGTAGTAGTAGTAGTAGTAGTAGTAGCAGTAGTAATAGAAATACAAGCAATGATAATTGTAGAATTAATACAAGTAGTAGCACTAGTAGCAGCAGAAGCAGCAGCAGTAGTAGTAGTAGAGATAGCAATCGTAGTAGTAGTAGTAGTAGTAGTAGTAGTAGTCGTCGTAGTAATAGTAGTAGCGGTAGTAGTAGAAGTAGTAGTAGTAATGGTAGTAAGCGTGAACGTAATACTAACAGTAGTAGTCGAAATGCTCGTAGTGATCATTGGAGTCAGAATTTTCGTAGTAGTGGTAGTAGTAAAAGTAGTAGTGCTCGTAGTCGTACAAGTAGCAGTAGTAGTAGTAGCAGTAGTGTAATACGAATCGTAGTAATCGCAATCGTAGTAGTCGTACAAGTAGCAGCAGCAGAAGTGGTAGAAACAGTAGTAAGAGCAGTAGTAGTAGTGGTAGTAGTAGTTGTAGCAGCAGTGCTCGTAGTAGTAGAAATAATAAAAGGTAGTAGTAGTAGTAGTAGTAGTCGTAGTAGTAGTAGTAGTAGTAGTAGGAGTAGTAGTAGTAGTAGTAGTAGTAGTAGTGGTAGTCGTCGTCGCCGTCGTCATCGTAGTCGTATCGTAGTAATCGTAGTAGTCGAACTAGTCGTAGTATTAGTCGTAGTAGTAACAGTAGTAGTTGTAATGGTGATGGTAGTAGTAGCAGTACTAGTAGTAGTAGTCAGAGTAGTAGTAGTAGTTGTAGTAGTAAGAGTAAGAGTAGTAGTATTCGTAGTAGCAGTAGTAGTAATCGTTGCAGTAGTAGTAGTAGTAGTCGTAGTAGTAGTAGTAGTAGTAGTAGTAATAGTAGTAGTAGTAGTAGTAGAAGTAGTAGTAGTCGCCGTAGTCGGGGTAGTAGTTGAAGTAGTAGTAGTAGTAGTAGTCGTCGTAGTAGTGGTAGTAGTATTAGTAATATGTGTTGTTGTTGTTATAGTTGTAGTTGCAAATGTAGTGGGTGCCGTGATAATAGTAGTCGTCACCGTAGTAGTATAGCCGAAATGGCCGTGATAGTAGTAGTAGTAGTAGTAGCAGCAGCAGCAGTAGTAGTAGTAGTAGTAGTAGTAGTAGTAGTAGTAGTAGTAGTGGTAGCCGTAGTAGTAGTAGTAGTAGTAGTAGTAGTAGTGGTAGTAGTAGTAGTAGTAGTAGTAGTAGTAGTAGTAGCAAAAGTAGTAGTAGTAGTAGTAGTAGTAGTAGTAGTAGTATTAGCAGTAGTAATAGTAATGGTCGTCGTATTATCAATACTCGTAGTCGTAGTCGTGGTCGTCGTCGTAGTTCAAATCTTCAAAATCCAAGTCGTAGCCGTTGCAACAATAATCGTAGTATGAAGAGAAAGAGAAGGATACTACGTAAAAGTGGTAGTTGTAGTGGCAGCAGCAGTAGAAGCATCAGTAGTAGTAGTAGTAGTAGTAGTAGCAGTAGTAGTAGTAGTAGTAGAAGTAGTAGTAGTAGCAGTCTTCGTGGTAGTAGTAGTACTAGTAGCAGTAAATAGTGATAGTAGTAGTAGTAGTAGTAGTAGTAGTAGTAGTAGTAGTAGTAGTAGTAGTAGTAGTAGTAGTAATAGTAATAGTAATAGTAGTAGTGGTAATTAGTCGTTAGGGTCGAAGTAGTAGTACTAGCAGTATGGTAGTCGTAGTTGCAGTAGTAGTACCAGTATCCGCAGCAGCAGTAGTAATACCAGTAATACCCGTAGCAGTCGCCGTTTAGTAGTAATAGTAGTAGTAGTTGTAGTAGTAGAAGACGAAATCGTAGTGAGAGTAGTAGTGGTAGCAGTAGTAGTCGGATCCGTCGTCGAAGTAGTAGTAGTAGTAGTAGTAGTAGTCGTAGAAGTAGTAGTAGTAGTAGTAACAGTAGTACGAGTGGCCGTCGCAGTAGTAGTTGTAATAGTAGTAGCAGTAATCGTTGTGGTAGTACTAGTGGTCGTTATAGTCGTGGTTGTAGTAGCAGGGACAGCAGCAGTAGCAGTAGTAGTAGTAGTAGTAGTAGTAGTAGTAGTAGTAGTAGTAGAGCTGTTGCTAGTAGTCGTAGAGGCAATAAGTGTATCAGTAGCCGTAGCAGTAATAGTAGTACGAGTAGTCGTAGTAATCGTAGTAGTAGTAGTAGTAGTAGTAGTAGTAGTAGTAGTAGTAGTAGTAGTAGTAGTAGTGGTAGTAGCAGTAGTCGTAGTAGTAGTAATAGTTTTCGTAGTAGTAGTGGTAGTGATAGAAGTAGTAGTGGTGATACTAGTAGTAGTTGTTGTGGTAGAAGTAGTAGCAGTCGTAGTTGTAGTCGTAGTCGTAGCAGTAGTAGTAGTAGTAGTAGTAGTAGTAGTAGTAGTAGCAGTAGTAGTAGTCATAACAATAGCGGCAGTAGTAGTAGTAGTAGTAGTCGTAGTAGTAGTAGTAGTAGTAGTAGTAGTAGTAGTAGTCGTCGTCGTAGCAACAGTCGTAGTAATAATAATAATATTGGTAGTCACCGTAGTAGGTGTAGGAGTAATAGTAAGAGTCGTAGTAGGAGTAATAGTGGTCATGGTAGTAATATCAGGAGTAGTCGTAGTAGTAGTAATGATAACAGTAAGCACGGCAGTAATAGCAGCAACAGTAGTAGTGGTGGTAGTCGCACAAGTAATCGCAGTTGCAACAGAAGCGGCACTATTAAAAACACTGGTAATAGCACCGTGAGGGCTAAATAATTCACACCGTTAGCATACATAGAACCCCGTTGTCTCTCGCTGTCTCACGTGTTCGCCCATGCTCTCCCGTTGGTTTCCAATGCTTCCCGTTGTTTCCCCTTGCCTCTCGTTGTCTATCGTTGTCTCCCGTTGTCTCGCTTTGTTTCCCGTTGTCTCCCGCTGTATCGCGTTGTCTCCTGTGGTCCCTCTGCATCCCCCTAGGAATCTCCGTCTGAGGCCCTCTCCCCGCCACAACGTAAAACTGTGGTCAGAATCTTGTGCCGCAAGGGTGTCATTTGACAGCCCCGGGGCCTGGGAAGGGCCCCAGGAGGCCCACCCAAACGAAAAACTTGTAGGACCTATTTGCACCGTGGTGGGGCCACGAAACGGGTGAGGTGTGTGCCGAAACAGAGACATGCGGATTGCAGAGGCAAGGACGGGAGGAGGGAGGAGGGGGAGGAGGAGGAGGAGGAGGAGGAGGAGGAGGAGGAGGAGGAGGAGGAGAGAAGGAGAGGAAGGACGCGGGGCACTGTCTCTTCAGAACGAGTAAGTACCCAACACCACAGGATGGTTGGGGAAAAACTGGCGGGACCCATTTGTATCGTGATGGCGAATCTTGCTCACCCTCGGCGCGCATCTTGGCAGCTCAGGGTCCCGACGGCGCCCTCCCGCCGCGGGGCCGTTCGAGTGGCGCCAGCCCCTCGGCGGGTGCTGGGCCTGCCCTGTGCGGTCCTGCCTGCAACCTCCGCGGGGGCTTCTGCCACGCCTCCGAGTGGAGGTGCTGGTCCGAAGGCTCCCACAGCGACGGAGGCATCGCTTCAGTCAAGCTTGTGTCTCTGGACGCAGGGAACACGTTCAAGAAGTAGGTTGAAATTGTCCACGGAGGGCCGCGTTTTAGCTGTCAGCTGTTGATGCGTGAATGCGCGTCATGTGTAGGTGCTCGTGTGAAGTGGGGCGCGTGTGTGCACAATGCTCGCTTGTGCTTGTCTGCCATGTCCGTATGTGATTACGCATGCGCACGCATCCAAGCGAAACAGACTATGGACTCGTTTTGCCTACAACTGCTCACGTCTAGGCCTTGAGCTCCCCTGCGATACCTTGAAGAGTTGCGAAGCTGTTCCCATTGCCGTGCAAGAAGCAAATTGAACCGTTTGTCAACTTGCTCTGGATGGTCTTGCCCGTGCTGGTGCTGTTTACTTCGAGCGGGAGGCTTCCGAGATTCATGTTGTGGAGAGACATGGACAAGATGCCAGCGTAGTCGAGAGTCACAGTAGCAGGGTTCTTCAGGTAGTACTCGTTGAACCATCGATTGTCCCAACTGCTGTAGGTAGTCCCAAGATCTGCGATCATGTCGATGAGAGCGTCGATAGTACCCATCATGAAGCCGGAGTTGGCGTACATGTACTTGGGTGAAGAGTTGCACGGACCCATGCTGGGGTCGGTGCAGTTGGCGTATGTCGACTCCCATCCATCGGGCACGCTCGAGTCCGAAAGCACGTCGGCCCTCCTGCCCTCAACCCAGCTAGAGCTAGTCAAGTTGTAACTCCACCCCAGGTCAGCTGGCCAAGGACTCAGCTCCGCCGCCATCACGATCTTCTGCGTGCCGCCACTCGCGTTGACGATCCTATCATGATCGGTCGGCACCAGACCGGGCAGTCGGAACTCGGAACTCGGCCTGCGTCTTGCACCGCGGGGGTGCTGCAGGGTGGGGCCGAAGCGACCGGCAAGTACACTGGCGTGCGAAGCAAAGGCATCGCGCTGCTACAGGGCGAGAGGGGGAGGGAGAGGGAGCGGGAAGCTGGCCGGCCGCTCGGGCTAGGAACTGGGGCCCGGAGTCGGATACAGAGGAGCTGTGGAGTTAGGTCGGGCATGTCCCCCTACCGGCAGATTTTGGAGGACAGCTTTAAAATAGCAGCAAAAAACTCAAAATAGCATGCAATGGTCAACAAAATCGTCCCCATACTATTTTTTCTATACTATTTTTGAATATTCCTCCTGTAGAGGGACGCGCCCGACTGAAAGCTGGAGTCGGAAATAGGATGTGCCCCCGTGCAGTCGGACCGAATCCGAACGTGTGTCGACTCGGGCTGCATCGGCACGGAACCGAAACCGAATCGGATCGGCTGCAGCCGTGCAGACACCCGGCCGCATCGGATCGTGGGAGTGTCGGGATCCGCTCGGATCGGGCTGGCCAGAACCAACAGCGAAGCGGAGCGATCAGACCGAGACCAGACATGCGACGTCCGGATATTTCAATATGGGGTCCCTCGAAGTCCCGACCCTCTCCCCAGGACCGGTGCTTCATCCTGGGTCGGTGGTTGATGGTCCCGAGGCCCGGCAAGGGCCCCCCGAGGCCGAACACGGCGAAAACCCTCCCGTCCTGATATTTGTTTCGTCGCGACCATGTCTGGGAACATGGCCCTGTCCTGTTGTACTTGTAGACGATCGTGTTCTCGTCACAGCCGCCGCCGTAGAGGACATCACCGCTGGAATGGATGATAGCCAACCTGTCGCCGCCCGCGGCCCCGCGGTCAGCCTCAGTAAGAGGGCCCAGGGACAAACAAATAAGTGTGCACAAGTACTAGGATTCCCCACATCTCTCCTTAGCTTCTCGACGTTCGTCTTCCCCTCCACTTCCCATATCTGCCCGTACTCTCCTGGGGATCGACGGTTCTTGGTGTCCGTGTCAGCTCACCTCCTCCGCTCTACTGCGCGTCTGGCCGCTCGGGCCAACGATCGTTTCCTCCGACGGCGATCTGGAATTCTGCGCCCGAGCACGACACCGATCATCGTACAGAGCCATGATGCGAAACGCTGAGCAGGAGGAGGAGGAGGAGGAGGAGGAGGAGGAGGAGGAGGGAGATGAGGAGGAGAAGGAGGAGGAGGAGGAGAAGAGGAGGAGGAGAAGAGGGAGGAGGGGGAGGAGGAGGAGAAGGAGGAGGAGGAGGAGGGGAGGAGGAGGAGGAGGAGGAGGAGGAGGAGGAGGAGGAGGAGGAGGAGGAGGAGGAGGAGGAGGAGGAGGAGGAGGAGAGGGAGGAGGAGGAGGAGGAGGAGGAGGAGGAGGAGGCACTCTCCTGGCCCCGGCAGGCCCCGGCCACGAGCAGGCCCCCCCGACCACGCGAGGCACGGCGGAGCCCCTCCCGGAGCCCAGGAGTGGTCCTCCCTGCGGCGTCGTGGCAGCACGGTCGTTCCGACACACGACCACACTCGACCAGGATAGTGAGGATGCGCGGTAAGGGTGCAAGGGCCTTGGGACGCCATGTTGACGTTGTCCGTGCGGAGCGCAGCAGAGTGCCGAAGGATGCCGGATACCGAAGGGGCAAGGATGCAAGGGTAGCCTTGGAAAGTTGCCCCATCCTTACTATATGGTTGACGGTAGACGAGCGCGTTCCACTGCTCGCACAGTAACTGCTCACAACTGGCCTGGATCCGCCGCGGGGGATCTGCGATAAACTGCCTCGAAGCAGACATGTGTTTTTCCGACGCTTGCGAGTGGGCATTTTGCGAGCAGTGGGGCGCGCTCGGTGAACAACCCCAGTCCAGTGCGTGATCATATGGGGAACACGCAATGACATAAACAGAAGAACTCGGGGGTCCGCGCGGAACTCTCGGGTCGGCGGGGGGGGCCAGCGCGGATCCGAGAAATCCGCGCGGACCTCCGAGTTTCTATGTTTACGTCATTGTTTGTTCCCCGACACAGCCCCAGTTCCTTGCGTGATCAGCGACCACCGCGCACAGCTAGCTGACGCTGAGCGGCCCGCCCAGTATTCCAGCCACTCCTTCGCAGCAGACCACCTCATTCTTTGCCACTGCCACACGGTCAGATCGCCCGCAGGGTTCGTCAGACCATTCAAGTGCTTGATCTCCTCACCTCCTTTGCCCGTCCAGCGAAAATTCGCAGGAGGCTGTGTGACCTTGAGGGAGTCTTTGACCAAGGCCCTGCCAATCACAACGTTTGGTGGGAATCCTTGGATTTCCCGTCCAGTCTGCAACGAGCTCAGGTGGATCTCGGTAGCAGCAGAATCGCTAATTGGAAACTCGCCTACGTAGCCAACATCCCTGAATGACGGCGTGTCCCTGTAGATTTCCCAAGGAATGCTCAGGAGCGCCTGCTTGTTGGAGAGCACCTCGCCCGCAAGCTCCATCATCAAATCCTCCCCCTCGCCGACAGCCTTATAGACAAAGACGAAGCTGACACATGCCAGCAAGTTCAGACCCATGGCCATGGTAGCCGCACGAGGGTCTAGGCAGTGCGCTGCGGTATCGGAAGTCCGACCAAGAACGAGCCCTTGAGACGTATGGCGAGAGGGGATGAGGGTGCTCAAATGGGGTCGAGGTAGATCGGGCTGGAAGATAGCGCCGCATCGCCGATGCATCGGCAACGACGGTGTGGAGAAACTCGGGCCCCACATCGAGCCGCATCGCCGACGCAACGGCGATGCAGCGCGAGCCGTCGGCCCCCACCTGCTTGACACTTCGACCCCGCCCGGGCGGCCTCGTGAGGGCAGGCGAGCGACGGCCGCAAGGCGACACTGAGCTCCGACGCCGCGAGAAAGCTGCGGCGCCGAGGGAAACGTTGGCCCCACAGTCTGCCCCCCCTTGTTCGAGCTGGACCCGCCTGCGCTGGCCCTGGACCCGAGACTCCCGGAGGCTCCCCGCCGCCCCTTGCGCACCGCGGATGCAGACTTAGGTCGGGCGTGTCCCCCTACAGGCGGACTTCGGGCGAGAACTAAAAAAAAGAGAGTCCAAACAGAGTGTCCCGAAAGGGTCAGAGTGGTGTGAAACCACAAAAAAAATCGCCCACCAGAGTGCGATTCGACTAGTTTCGAACTCCCCTCCTGTAGAGGGACAAGCCCGACTCAGATGCACACCCAGGTGCTCCCAAGGGGGGGGCGGGGGCCCCGCAGGCCCCCAGGAGCAGGGCCCCGGATCGACGGTGCAGCACGCAACGCCTCCACACGCTGGCGAACCGGGCATGCACTGGCGAGCACGTCGCACGCACCGGCGACAGAGAAGGGGGCCCTGGGACACACAGATCAATACACACAAATGAAAAGACTCCCCATCTTCTCCCATAGGTTCTGGGTTCTCGTCTTCCCCCCACTTCCCATATTTTCCTAGATCTTCTGGAAAATCGACGATTCATTGTGTCTGTGTTTTTTTCCCTCCTGAGGCAGTCATGCACTGGCGAAACAGCCCCCCGTGTGAAAATGGACGGAGGTGAGACCCCCAGGCAGGGCGAGGTCGCCCAGCGCGGAAAACTGCAATGCCTGGATCCCCTGGACCCCTCGGCTCTTGAACTAAAATCATGGCGTGAGGTCTTTCGCTAGTCTTCTGCGTCTGGGAGCCATTACCGGCCCTCGGGACCGTCGAAACACGAAGGATGGTCCCGGGGAGTGGGTCCAGACCGCTGGGGGCCACGTCACAACAAAAACCACGCAGTCGGGAGTCTGGGTCTCGGGGGACGGATGGACCACAGCCCTGAGCTCCGACGCAGCGAAAACACTTGCAACATCGGAAAGCATCACGCCCAAAGCCCTATAGACCCCATCTTCCTGCGTCAGTCCCAGACCCCCGACGTCGTGATTTTTTCACACCGGCGACCCCCAGAAGTCTGGACCCGCTCCCCGGGACCCGTCTTTCGTCCCGAGTCGTTGACGCTCCCGAGGCCCGGTAAGGGCCCCAGGGGGCTGAAAATCGGCTACACGCAAGAGTGACTGACCCTGGGTAAGAGTGACCTCTGGTGCGGGGCTTTTGGGGGGCGCGCAAGGCGCTGCTATCGCATCGCATTCGGCGATCGGTGGACAATGTGCCCGCACCAAAGGTCACTCCGACGAAGGGTCACTCTTACGTCTAGTTGAGAAAATAGCGAAAACCCCCCCATCGTGATCCCAGACATGCGACGTCCTGATTTTTTCAATACGGGGTCCCTGGAAGTCCTGACCCTTTCCCCCAGACGGGTTCTTCATCCTGAATCGTTGTTTGACGGCCCCGAGGCCCGGCGAGGGCCCCCCGAGGCCGAAAACTACCAAAAACCGCCCGTCCTGATTTTCTTACAGCGCGATCCTGCCTGGGATTCTTCCACAGCGCGAGGGCGTCTGGGATCTTTTAGGCCCCCCGGAGTCCGCTGCGGCGGCACCTCGAGGGCACGCCGGCGGAGTTTCGCTCGTCCTCGGTCGACCCCCACACAATCCCCCACGATATGATCTTTTCGAACCACTCAAAAGTCCCCTACGATGTGATTTCTCGATCCCCCCAAAATCCCCCACGATTTGATTTTTTTCGACCCCCCAACAAAAATCCCCCACGACATGATTTGTTCGACCCTCCCAAGATCCCCCACGATATGATTTTTGCGATCCCGGCGTTTCCCCGTGAGATGCCGGCCTCTGAGGCCCGTTCTATAGCGGGCCGCGCGACCATCAGGAGTGGGTCGGGGACGACGAGTCATGGCCCATGGAAGGGGTCGGGAGCTCGGGGGCCGCGGATTGAAAAGATCATATCGGAGGACGTCTGGGTCGGCGGCCATCCCGACGTCGTAGTTGTTTCGCAACGTCGACCCCCAGGGATCTGGACTTCTTTTCCCTGGGATTGGGCTTTGGATCCCGAGTCGCTTCTTGACGGCCCCGAAGCCCCGCAATGGCTCCTGGAGGCCGAAAATAGCGAGAAACCTCCCGTCACGACTTTTTCGCAATGCGACTGGGTCTCGTATGGGCTTCGAGCGTATTCGGGCTCCTCCTCCTCCTCCTCCTCCTCCTCCCAGTCCTCGCTCCTCCTCCTCCTCCTCCTCCTCCTCCTCCTCCTCCTCCGCCTCCTCCTCCTCCTCCTCCTCCTCCTCCTCCCTCCTCCCCCTCCTCCTCTGTGTTGGCAGCCCCCGAGCCCGTCCCAGCGCAGCTGGCCAGACTTCGAGCGCATGCGGAGGGGCCGCGGGGCTCACCCTCACGCGGGCGGCCCTGCGGAGGCTCTCCGCGGGAGCCGGCCAGGTCTGTGAGCGACGTCCCCCCGAGGCCTGGGGGCCATGGCTAGGGAGCTTCTGAAGGGGCCCCAGGACACACAAATAAATACACACAAATAAAATGATTGTCCCACATTTCCCCATATCTTTGGGGTTTTCGTCTTCCCCCCCACTTCCCATACTTTCCCATATTTTCTGGGGAATCGACGATTAATTGTGTCTGTGTGTTGTTTTCCCTCCTGAGCTTCGGAGCCTCCAGCATGCCCCAGACCCCCTCGAGTTGCCCTGAGATCCCGGCGTTGCAGTTTTTTCACAGTCGGCACTTTCGCTCGATGTCGGGCCCCGGGACCCTCACAGAGATCGATCCGGCTCGAACAATGACGCAGAAAGCTGGGGTCTAGGGCTCTGGGCGTGAATTTTTACAATGTTCGAACTTTCGCTATGTCGGATCTCAGGATGAGAAAAAATCACGACGGGAGGCTTTTCGTTATTTTCGGCCTCCAGGGGCCCTTCCTGGGCCTCGGGGCCGTCGATAAACGACTCAGGACGAAAAGCCGATCCCAGGGAAGGGGTCGGGACCTCTGGGGGTCGACGTTGTACAACAATCACGACGTCGGGGTTCTGTAGGAACGTGCCTACCCAGAGATGCGACGTCCCGAGTTTTTCAATACGGGGTCCCTGGAAGTCCCGACCCTTCCACCTGGGTTTTCATCCTCAGTCGTTTCTTGACGGCCCCGAGGCCCGGCGAGGGCCCCCCCGAGGCCGAAAACGGCCAAACACCTCCCGTCCTGATTTTTGTTACGACGCGATCCTGCCTGGGCAGCGATCGCTGGGATCCGGGCCTTGCCAACTTTTTCGCGCTCCGGGCGTCTTCGCCCCACTTCTTCGGGCCCCAGGGGCCCACAACGGACCGTACAACGGCTCGGTCTGGCTCGGAAGGCATGCTGCGGGAAGGCTGGGTGTGGAGGCTCCGGTCGTGATCTGTTCGCGATGTTGCACGTTTGCTCATCACGCCATATCTCAAGAGAATGCCCAACGATTGCCTCGGGATTCCGTCTCGGCTGGGGGGTCTTCTGGGCTATCCTTGAGGGGCCTGGCGGGCCGATGCGAGAAGCCAGATCGCAGAAGCAGATCCTGAAGTTCTCCTCGTTTGGGCCTCCATGGCGTCCAGGACGCCGTTGAGGCCAGAGGGGGCCCAAGAGTGGACCGCGAGCAAGTCCTGGGAACATGGCTGGGCGCCAGCTCTCTCTAAAGGAGCCCAGGGACACACAAACAAATACACACAAATCCCAAGATTCCCCATATTTTCACATATCTTCTGGGGGGCTCGTCTTCCCCCCCCCACTTCCCATATTTCCCCATATTTCCCTGGGAGTCGACGATGTATTGTGTCTGTTCGTTGTTCCCTCCTGGTTTTATTCCTGCCACAAGCGACAGGGAGACCCCAAGAGGGCGCCTGGACGGCCACCGGGTGGCCCTCGACAGACCTCAAGGCCCCCCCCACTCGAGGAAGCCGCAGTGTTCCCAGCCATCCCCCGAGGCGCCGCCCATCGGGGCCCTCCAGAAACGTGAGCGACGGAAAGAAACAGGCCTTGCCAGAGGCAGACAGACAGACAGAACACAGGCAGACAGACACTCGGAGACAAACACAGGCAGAGAGGAGGGAGAGACAGACAGACAGACAGACAGACAGACAGACAGACAGACAGACAGACAGACAGACAGACAGAATGCAGACAGAGAGACAGGATGCAGACAGGCAGACAGAGAGACAGAGACAGACGCAGACAGAGAGAGAGCGAGAGAGAGCCAGACAGGCAGACCGAGAGACAGACAGAAAGACAGAGAGACTGACAGGTATAGGCGATATAGAGAAACGGCGAAGCAAGGGGTGGAGAGAGATAGAGAGAGATAAAGAGATAAAGAAGAGAAAGAGAGAGAGAGAGAGAGAGAGAGAGAAAGAGAGAGAACACAAAAAAGGCAAACGCGAGAGACGTGCGCGAACAATGGTATATGAGAGGGCGATGGCAGAAAGAGACAGAGAGAGAAATACTACCAACATGCACGCATATAGAGGGAGGGAAAGGGAAGGAGAGCGAGAGCGATATCCGCCGGCCCCCTGGCGGGGCCACAAGGCTGCAGGGCAAAGGTTTGCTGCTCCTTGCACCAGTTGCAGGTTCCAATTTCCAGTGAATAGTTCCACCGTCTGCTTCCTCCGGTTAACTGTTATAATTGGTACTGAACGCGCGAGGGGGGGAACCGAAAAGCGTCCGGATTACCACGCCCGAGTCGCGTGCTCTGGGGGGAGCATGGGACATGTAAAAATACGGTAAAGTCGC